TAAGAGTTAAGCAAGAGGCTCAAGAATGCAGTATTCATTCTCCAAGTAGGAGAGACATACAATCTAGCAGACTTAATTAAGTATGGTACATGCCAAGGAAGACATCAAGTGTGAGAGGCAGGATCAACTAGCAAGGCTTTACCTTGCCTGAATGAAATATTAACCCAAGTCATCCAAGTATTTGGCTCTGATTCCAAATTCACTTAGAACCTTTCTGGTTAGCTTCTCAAACATTATGATACTAGGAAACAGATGCCAGAGATAGAGAACTCAGGTCCCTGGAAAAGAATATTCTCCATGGTAGGTTAATATAGTGGCATTCTTGGGGTGGCTGGGTGGCTCAGTAGGTGACACATCTGATTTTGGCCAAGATCATGATCTCAGGGTCCTGGGATCAAGCCCCATGGCAGGTTCCATCCTCAGCAGGGTCTAGTTATCCCTCTCCCTCTGCCCCTCCCCCTGCTCATGCTCCTTCTCTCTCAAATAAAGAAATTAAAAAAAAAATGACATTCTTCTTCATACAAAATGCAATACAGTGTAGTGGTTAAGTGCCCAATACTTGGAGACATGTTTTTAAATCCTGACTGTTGCTTAATTTACTTCTCTGGGGATCCCTGGGTGGCGCAGCGGTTTGGCGCCTGCCTTTGGCCCAGGGCGCGATCCTGGAGACCCAGGATCGAATCCCACATCGGGCTCCCACTGCATGGAGCCTGCTTCTCCCTCTGCCTATGTCTCTGCGCCTCTCTCTCTCTCTCTGTGACTATCATAAATAAATAAAAATTTTAAAAAATGTTAAAAAAAATTTACTTCTCTGTGCTTCAGGGTTTTTTTCATTAGATGAGAATATAATGTTTATTTTGAGCATTTTAAGGATTGAGTTAATTCATCCTAAGCATTTAAACCTTGGCTGGTATGTAGTGTTCAATCTTTATTGATCTCTACAGCCCGATGGGTTCATAGGTCTCAGATAATCCACAGTATAGCTATTTCCCCTGGAGCTGAAGTGGAAGAGCAAGGTTCTTGTCTCACGGAGTTTCATCTCAGGATTAATCTCTCAGACAAGGGAGACTGAATAAAGTGATAGAGTTTTATTTTTCTTCTTTTTTTTTTTCCAGTTTAAAGCAACATTTATAAATAATGAAAACAAGATACAGTGGAAAGCAGCAAGATTTTTCAGCTCCCATGAGCTCTTGTGCAAGAGCAAACAGTGTCTGTTCTGTCCATGCATTGCCCCAATCCAGTTCCAGGAGGTCATGAGAAAAGATATGTGAAGGGGGTGAAAGAAAATCTCGAGAGAAAAAGAGTGTGCAAGGAACATGTGTCCTGAAAAGGACACATTCCACCATCAGGTGTGGAATCCGAAGAACAAAGCAACATCAGTTCAGATTTTAAAACAACACATTATCCTGTGCTATGTCACTCCACGACTAGGCTGTCCACGGGTTTGTGTGCAGGTGTCAGGGGGGCAGAATCACGTACTCCCAGAGTAGAAGCACGTCCACGCTGGGTGAGGTGGGGTGGCGCTCTCCATGCTGAGGGTAAGTCCACAAAGCCCCTGATGATCCCAAAACTCTGTCCCTTGTTGCTGTACCCCTGCCACCTCTGACAGGGCTGCTATCATCACCTGGGAAGCACTGGCTCCCAAGGCTGATCTGTGGCTGCTTAATGAGGGTTTTATTTATTTATTTATTTATTTATTTTTTATTTTTTTGTGATAGTCATACAGAGAGAGAGAGAGGCAGAGACGTAGGCAGAGGGAGAAGCAGGCTCCATGAACCGGGAGCCCGACGTGGGATTCGATCCCGGGTCTCCAGGATCCCGCCCTGGGCCAAAGGCAGGCGCCAAACCACTGCGCCACCCAGGGATCCCCATGAGGGTTTTATTTAGGAGATTTCAGTGGAATACCATCTAAAGAGGAATTATAATTTTTATGATTCCTATCTATTTCTATTATAATTTTTCATAATTACTAAACATCTCTTGTGATTTTGAGAATCGAAATCCAAGCATGATCAACCTTAAAAAAATTGTGATTTTAGACTATCAAAAAAGTGTCACAATGTAAGACCTCAGTAATCATGCCAGACTATATTATATATGTATACAGAGTGGGCAGGGTGGCTTTAAAAGGCAGACACAGAAGACAGGTTTTGAAGGGCTTGTATTCTCTACCAAGAAGTTTGGATTTTATTTTATAAGTTTAAGAGGCCATCTAAAGGTAAACTCAATTGTCAAAGCATTGCTCAAATAAATTTAAATCCAAGTTACAGATCTCACAAAAATTAAGACAAAGGGGGGATTCCACAGAAATATACTTATCAGTGATTTAAATATATTAGTAGCAATACAACCTAAATTGGAATCAAAATCAAAATTGTCAGTGAATTTAAATGAGTGCAAACGGAACACCACCTCCACCAGTAATATTACAAAAGGAACAGTACATGCTGTTTCCTGGCTCTACAATCCACTTCCTCCAGTTGTTGGAGGCACTGGATCCATCTGTTTCAAGGCTCTATCCACAAGAAAGAAAAGACCAGTCTTTGTCATCTGGTCTTCTCTCAATCTACAGAACCGGAATCCAAATATAGCACTATAATAAAAAAGTTCAGCACTACTGAAAGCAAGCAACATCAAATATTATAAACACTAAAAAATACATAACACTAAGAACAAACACAACTAAAAAAACTGACTTCCAGAATGCTTTAAGACAGGAACCAAAGCAAGAGAGAAAAAGCAACTTAATTCAGAAGGGAAAAAAAAGGCAGCTGATTTCACAAAAATGTCAGAAGAGCAAACATCCTCTTTTTCCCTTTTGCTATTCTAATCTACTTTCATCTGGTGAAACAAGATAAGTAAATTTGCTAGAATCGTGTCACAACAGTGAATAATGCCACCACTGAGTTCACAGAATTTTGAAGTCCACTAGCCTAGTCCAATCTTCACTTTATTTCAAAAATGAGTAGGTTAGTTCCAAAGCAGTATTTTCCAGAGTGCAGAGCAAGAACACTAGATCATTTCAGCTGTTATGTAAGCAATGGTTATTTAAGTTACATATTTACTATAATGCATACTAGGAAAAGGTATACATAAAAACCATGACTTCACAGGTTATCACTCTGGAAGAAAGTAGTGTTGAAAACAAATCTATTAAAAACATGAAACAGGGATCCCTGGGTGGCGCAGCGGCTTGGCGCCTGCCTTTGGCCCAGGGCGCGATCCTGGAGACCTGGGATCAAGTCCCACATCGGGCTCCCGGTGCATGGAGCCTGCTTCTCCCTCTGCCTATGTCTCTGCCTCTCTCTCTCTCTCTCTGTGACTATCATAAATAAATAAAAAAAAAAAAAAAAAGGAGCAACCATTAGTTTGGCAAAAAAAAAAAAAAAAAAGTTTTAAAAACATGAAACAAAATAACACAATCTTCTAAAAGGCAAAATTTATGATGGTGGTATGGTTCACTAGGAGTGAAATACTGACAGCTGTCCCATGAACCACAGGGCCTGTTTTTTGTTTGTTTGCTTGCCTGCTTGCTTCCTTCCTTCTTGGCTTAAGGTTGTGTTCTGAATGATTAGAAGTGATGTGACCTTCAGTTAAGTGATCCTATTACTATGCTAAAGCTCATTTAAAATAAAAGCAACAAACACTAAGATGCATACAGAAATACTACTGTTTAAAGGAAAGAGTGCCATACTGTTAATTATGGCACAATAAGGCATTGCTATCCTGGAACTAGAATAACCACAAGCACCTAACAAAACAAAACAAAACAAAACAAAACAAAACAGCCTAGTAATAAGATAAATATTTGAGCTGTAGGCTGTTATATGACCATTCTATTTACTTTCACATGACCTGTCAAAAAAAAAGCATGATAATGTGAGCAGAGGTGTTCTTCCTAATACTTGCTAATATTTATACGAATGTGTCTTTCTCATTATCTCTTGCCAAAGGAACGAATGACAGCAGACCATTAGATGCATTAGGCATCAACTGTGATGGGGGAAGAACATTAGTTTTTTCGAAATCTTACTATGAACTATTTTAAGTTTACGTCTCAAAGTATTCTAGCTAATGATGCGCCATGAATTTCAAGTCTGGGATTTTCCAGGCTAGGCAAGAACGCTGGAGAACCATTTCTTTTTGGTCGTATCTGCTGTATTTTTTACTGGCACATCAGAAAGCCAGTCTTAAGGACATAAGGGCAGAGGGAGTAATACTGCTCTCAGCTCTTGAAATACCTGTTACTGAGAAGCTACGTTATTTCACACGGCTGAGGGAATGCTGTCAGAAGCTGCCAGTATCCAAACACCCCTCCTCAGTTGCCCCCTGCTCCCTGAAGATGACTGGCAAAAGGCAAAAATGATACTCCCTTTTCATCTCCTTTTCCCAACTTTGATGTCTTTCGGTTTCCTCTACCCTTACCTACCTTTCCTAAAATGGTGGTGACTAAAGATGAAAAAAAGGATGCGATGAAACAGCACTTTCCAGGACATCCCGCCCCTCCCCCCCCCAACCAACAACTCCAGCCTGGAATTGTAAAATCCAGTGTTTCAGGGATCCTTCGTGCGTCTACAGTAAAGCCGCGAATACGGATGGACTTTCCCAGAGAGCAGGGACTCTGCAATGCCACGCACCTCAGACACCTCCAAACTCTAGCTCAGAGTCATTCGATCACTGTGGTCACATACAATGAATCCCGATCACAGCAACACTGCAGGGGTGGGGGAGTGGGAGTTTACCTCCGCTTTGGTTTTGAGGCGGGGTTCAACCAACGACCATCCTGCCGCCCTTCCTCCGCCCGCCCCGCGGTGGTTTCCTGGCAGCTCCGGTCCTTGCTTCGGGCCCGACCTGCCCAGTCCGGGCCAGAGCACCCCCCACCCTCCCCTTTAGACCGACCTCACCAAGTTTTAAACCGTCACGGGAATACTCTTGCATCTGGGGACTGGATCCCAATCCCCAACCGAGTTGCTCCCTCAACCCCCCTCCCGAAGGCTCACCAAGCAGTTCCGGCCACTCCTCTCGCACAGCAGCGGCTCGGGCACCCCCCAGCCCGGACCTGGACCTGCGTCCTCCCGGCGCCTGCGCGCGCCTGGCCCGCGCGCATGCGCACTTCCTCGGCCGCGCGGGCGCGGACACACCAGCTGGAGCTGGAGCCAATCACCGGCTGAGGGGTTTAAATCTCTCTGCCACGCAGGCGGGGAGCCTGGGGACTCACCCGTTAACCGGATGATTCGGGTCCCTCCCGAAGTGCAACAAACGTTTGTTAAGGGTAAACCGTTTCCTGGAAGAAAAGAAGGCGAAAAGAATGCCTTCCCTGCCTTCCGGGGCCTTTCAATCTGTCTAGATTGGAGATCGACATGGAAACAAATTATAGTGCATAGAATACAGTGCGTGGCATTGGAGGCGGGCTTGGCGCACAATGAAAGAAGAGCCTTATTCTTAGGGATGTTTGGAAGGGTTCCCAGAGGAAGTGACTTTTCAATCAGGAAGGCTAAGTAGTTCTCCCAGAAGTCTGGGGTGGAGGGCCATAGTTTTTTCCAACCCGTGGGAACAGCGTGTGCCATTAAGAACATAGCGCCTTCTGTAAATTCCTCCTAGTTCATCCTAGTTAGAGGCTTACAGCTCATTGTATATCTCCGGGTGAAGTGGAGAATAAGCTTTAAATAGTCAAGTCGGCAATGGGTCCGATCTTGGAAGGTTTTGCACTTTTGGACTAGTGAGCCTGGACTTTATGCTATGACCTCAGAGAGCCATTGAAGGATTTTTAAACAGGTTCAGGAACTCTTCTAGGTGCCTCAAAGAATAGAGCACAATGCTGGAAATTAAAAAAAAAATATTTCAGAGGAGAAATAATGGTTTTGGGAGCGAGAGAAGATACCTGAAGATACCTCCTCAATTATAAGAGGAAGTAGGTGTTTTATGTTTAGTAACAGGAAGTTAAAGAAGTTCTCATCTGATGACCTCTGTTTTCTCTATGAAGTAGGAGATGATGTCATCTAATAGAAAAGAAGTTGGGAGGTTTTTTGTTTTTGTGGGGTTTTTTTTTTTGAGATTTTATTTATTTACTCATGAGTGACACAGATAGAGAGGGAAAGACAAAGGCAGAGGGAGAAGCAGGTTCCATGCCGGGAGCCCAATGTGGGACTCGATCCCAGGACTCCAGGATCACACCCTGGGCCAAAGGCAGATGCTCAACCGCTGAGCCACCCAGGTGCCCCTGGAGTTAGGAGTTTTAAGGCAAGTGGACAGTTTTGAAATATTGTTACAGAAGTGATAGAACAAGTTGACCTTGAGCAAGTAGTCGGACTGTTAAGCAGTGTCAAGGGCCTGTATAAGATTGGTAAAAGTGAACTCTCCAGATTCTAACCTCCTGTGTGACTTACTAAAGCAGCAGTCATTTCTTCCACTTCTGGGCAGAAGTGGACAAAATGTATGGTTGAGTTTATTTATGGTTGGGATAATGCCATGGTATAATGCCATGGTTCTCAACCAGAGGCATCTTGGCCTTTGAAGATGACAGGGATTGGAGTGGGGGATGTAAAGGATGTAACGTAAAGGCATGTAAAGGACATGAAGGTGGGAGATACTACAGGCATCTAGTGTCCAGGGATGCTGTTAAGCACCCTACAATACACGGGACAGCACAAGAATTATCTCCAAATAGCACCTGGGTGGCTCAGTGGGTTAAGCGTTCAATTCCTGATTTCAGCTCAGGTCATGATCTCAGGGTTTTGAGATCCAGCCCCACATTGGGCTCTGTGCTGGGCTTGGAGCCTGCTTAAGATTCTCTCTCCCTCTTCCCCTCCTCACCTCTAAAAAAAAAGTTATCTCCAAAGTATCAATAGTGCCAAGGTTAAGAAGCCTTGACCTAGGGGTACCCAGGTGGGTCAGTCAGTTGGGTGTCCTACTCTTGGTTTCACCTCAGGTTGTGATTTTGGGATTATGGTGTCAAACACTGGGCTCCACACTCAGCTAGGGGTCTGCTTCTCTCCCTCTGTCACTCCCCACCCTCCCCTCACCCCCTGCTCTCTGTCTTTGTCTCTCTCTGGAATGAATAGAATAAATCCTAAAAAAAAGAAGAGAAAAGAAAGAAGAAAGAAAGAAAGAAAGAAAGAAAGAAAGAAAGAAAGAAAGAAAGAAAGAAAGAAAGAAAACCCTGATCTAGGATTACCTTGATGCTCACCAATGGCTGATCTTACTCTTCTACAAGCTTTTCCTTGGACTATAGCCCTGAACTTTTAGGGTAAAGTAGTCCTTCCATTGCATACCTTTGAAGGAGAGTAGAATGAGCATGTACCTGAGGCCTTGAGTGTTTCAAGGACTTGTGATGTCACAAATACAGAATTGGAATAGTTCTTCAGTCCTCTAGATACAAATCTGGACTTCTACATAGTTGAAGGGAGGTGCTTACTTTGGTTTTAGGTATTGAAGATCTTGTTAAACACAGACATTGTTAGAACTTCAATAATATAGGAGTAACACTTCACACCATTAATCTTAATGTAACTTGATTTATCTGATTAGCTGTAGTTACTAAAATAGGATCATGAGAGAATGAATATGGGCTACATTTAATAAAGGAAATAAATATGGTAAGTATTAATAAAAATATCATCATAGGTATTCATGGATTTTTTTTGCTTTATGACAGGCACCCATTCATAGATAGGCACTTGACCTGCATTATGTCATTTAATCCTAGCAACCCCCTGAGAGATACCATTATCCCAATTTTAACTGTGCAGAAACTGAGATTCCAAGAAAACTTGTAATTTGCCCAAAGTCATAAATTAGTAGTAGCTAGGTCAAGATTTGAACTCATATCTGTCTGTCCTCAAGCTCTTGAACCTTCCATTAAACATCAGTAGGTTTTACAAGGCAGGAGTGGTTGGAAATTTAGCTTAAACAATTGCCACTGCATAAAGGGAATGCTGGTGATTTAGGAAGAGAGTAGAAGCAACAGGGAGGCCCAGAAAGAGCAAAACGAATGAAAAAGGAACTAAGGAGGCTGGTCACAGGTGCGTTCAGGGCTGCAGAGTAACTTCTGCAAGCCGACCTGCCTTTGATCTTTCTTTTCCAGTAAAGTCTCTTTACCCTGTGTCCGTTGTTCACTCTTGTGTGTTCAAATAAAGCTAGATTATTGAGAAAGGCGGACTGCAAAGAGGAAAAAAAAAAAAGGAGCGTGACGGCGGCGGTGTGCGCCTGCGCGCTGGAGGCGGTGGCGGCGGCGGCGGCGGCGGCGGCGGTGCCCGCGGGGGGAGGGGGCCCGGAGTGGGCCGCCGGACCCATAACTGAGAGGGGCCTAGGGGCCTTCCCTCGCTGGGACCTTGGCGGCCCGATGGAGTAAGAGGGGTCGGCTGTGAGTGTGAGTATCGAGGCGCCGGGCTGCGTTGGGGCGTATGGGAACGGCGGGGTCCTGGTGGTCTGCCCCTAAGGTTTCGGGCTGCAGGACGCGCGGCCGGGCTTGTGCTCCTGCAGGCTGCGGCGCCGCGGCACCCCGGTCCTCCCCTCTCCCTGAGCCCGCGCGTTTTACAGGCAGACGGTGCTTCTGGCTTCGGGGTACAGATTCTCGCGGGGGCGTTCCGGCTCTGCTTCTAGTCCCAGCAGGAAACGCGCTTGCAAGAACCTTGACCTTTAGGGGAGGCCGCCGACCTCTTTCGGCCCCCGGTTCTGCAGGAATCTCGTAGGTCTAGGTGCTTAGAGGCCTGCGGGTCACAGGCCAGGGACACCTTTCGACCTCTAGTGACTGAGAGCCTCCGTTCTTTTGCCTCCTTCCGTCTTCTCTCCGGGTGGGATGCGTCTTAATAATAGCTACTAATTATGGAGCGCCTACTATGTGTCAGCTTAATGTTTAGTCCGAATCTCGGTGCGTAATTACGGGGAGGAAATGCTTTGCACCCCACTCCCCCTTGAGTCTGCTCAGTTTAATCATCCTTGAGACTCAGAGTAAACCATTTTATTGGGAAGTTTGAGACTTCCATGGCTTTTAGGAACTTGCGACTGCCGTTCTACCTAAGGGAGGTTCTCTTACCTAGCAAATAGGTGCTTTATCCACCAGAATGGTTTATATCGAATTTACTCAAGCCGAAATAACTTTTGCACACTAAGAGCCCTTGCTATTCTAAACCCCAGGGGAAATCCTAAACTTGTTTAAATCCCTGTTCTCCAGTTTAGTTGTGAATGAAACAATGGAGGATAATATTTTGATTCAGTTAGGACTTACTTGGCATCTGCTGCATATGTGCCAAATACACTGAGGTCTGTCACAAAAATTGATGAGATACCATAATGGAAAGTGTTGTTTTGTTTTGTTTGAAGCATATTTCAGATCAGGTCACTAAAAGTTTGATGTCAATTTGCTCAAGCTAACCTAGCTAGAGTAAGTGGTGAAATTCATATCTGCCAAGGCTCATCTTTTTCCAGACACACCAAGTTAAATATTCTAAGCATTTTTGAGAAGCAACTACCTAACAGTTTTAGTTTCTAGAATTAACTTTTCTGTCTAGAAAATGGTAGGTGCCTTTAAAGGTACTAGCTAGTTTTTGAAGAAAACTTCAACATGACTTGGAAGGTGGTAAGAAGGTGTGAAGGAATCTGATAGAGTTAGTTCAGAAGGAATTGCTTTGATTGAAAGGAAGATACTTAAAAAGGAAAAACTGCAAATGGTAATTATTTATCTAGGTTAGAGCACAGCACATGTCATCTACTATAGAAGAGGCTCTTGTACGAGGAATAGTGGTAGGTGCTAGCTGGCTTGGTTCTGGCACCAGGAATGGCTCTGTGAGAAATACACATATTGTGTATTTTGTGATTGGAATATCTTAGTGGGAAGTTTAAGATTAATTTGTGTATCCAGTGTATAAGAACACAGAGGCAGAGAATTTGAATATGAATATTCCAGTTGCACACTCAGCATGCTAACTCTCTAATTGAAACCTTAGAGTCAGTTGGGTTTTTTCCTCTTAGAATCTAATCTGAAAGAGACTACCAAGAAATGAGAGTTCCTAGGAGTTCACCAGTAGAGGACTGGTTAAATAAAGTATGCATTTGTTAGAATGAGCCAGCTCCCTCTGTGTGCTAATACTGAGTAATAACCAACATATATTAAGTGAAAAAAAAAGTGCAAAAGAGGTTTTGTTTTGCGATCTTTTTTTTTTTTTATGTATTTGCGTATATATGTATAGAATATCTCTGAAAGAATATGTAAGAAACTGGTAACAGTGACTGGAGGTGCACGTGGCTGGGAAACAAGAATGGGAAGTGAATAATTTTCTGTATACGTTTTTAAGAATTTTTTTATGAAACTTTTAAGCATCCAGAAAAAGGGAGGAAATATTATATTGAATCCATGTAAATTGATCATTTTAAAATCTGTTGTTACATTGCTGTATTTGCTTTTATTCCTGACATCTCTAAATAACTTTAATATACGGCTCTAATAAAAAGAACAATTTCCTGTTTAACCTGTTAACATAATCACACTAAACAACTAATTCTTCCATATTATATAATACCCCGTGTTTCTTAAAATTTCTCCATATTGGGGGCGCCTGGCTGGCTCAGTCAGAGGAGCATGTGACTCTTGATCTCAGGGGTTGTGAGTTTGAGCCCTATGTTGGGTGTAGAGATTACCAAAAAAAATTTTAAATTTCCCCAAATTGTCCTTCCCCACCTCCCCTTCTGTTTTGGATCTTATTTACAATTAAAGTCTATGCATTGTATTTGGCTATTATGTCTCAAAATCTTTTAAAATCTAAAAGTTACAGCAGCCCGGATGGCTCAGCAGCTTAGTGCTGCCTTCAGCCCTGGGCCTGATCCTGAAGACCCGGGATTGAGTCCCACGTTAGGCTCCCTTCACAGAGCCTGCTTCTCCCTTTGCCTGTGTCTCTGCCTCTCTCTGTCTCTCATGAATAAATAAATAAAAATATTTAAATAAACAAATAAATAAAATCTAGAAGTCACCTTTTTTTCTCCCTTTCTCTTTTTTTCATCCTGACTTGTTGAAAAGACCTGGTCAATTGTCTGAATTTATCTGATTGATTTCTAGTGATATTCCTTAGGTAGTTACTGCTAAACTGGAAAGTACAGGTAAACGCTTCATTGGATTCAGGTTAAACACTTTGGGGATGATAATAGCTTAAGCTATGTATTCTTGTTTTTCCCCTATTAATGATGCTGTGATTAGTTAGTGGGTTCAATCGTAAATCTGAGTTTTTCATTGTAAAATTGTATTCCCTTAAAACCAGATGTAAGCCATTTTGTGTTTTTAAAATTTAAAACTAGTGTTACCAATTCAAAATATAAATAATTACCTTTAAAAAGACAAAGCTTACTGGAAAATATTGCTGCTCCTTTTTTTTTTTTTAATTTTGTTTAGACATTGAGTGAGTGAGCTTGAGCGGGGGAGGGGCTGAGGAAGAGGGAGACAAATCACCAGCCGCCCTATGAGGCTCCATCCCACAGCAATGCAATCATGACCAAAGGGAAATCAAGAATCTGGACACTTAACCAACTGAGCCACCCAGGCACTCCATGTTGCTGCCTTCCCCCCCCCCCTTAAATTAGAGCATGGGATTGGGGTGGGGGAGGCAGAGGCAGAGAGGATCCTAAGCAGGCTCCTTGCTCAGAGCCCCCTATGCAGGGCTCCATCTCAGAATCCTGAATTCATGACCTGAGCCAGAATCAAGAGTCCAGTGCTTAACCAGCTGAGCCACTCAGGTGCCCCATGCTGTTGCTTTTTAAAACAATCCCTGATAACTAGGTGTAGTATCTCATTTTATAGAAGAGGAATTTAAAATTCAGAGATTAAAATATACTCAAGGTAATAGACTTAAGTATTTTTATCTACTTCCAAGTTCATGCTTTGCCACCATATTTTATAAACTATGAACTGGTATATAAATGTAAAATTGTTATTACTCCCAATAGTTATGCTACTTGTCCCTTATATCTTTTTGGACAAGTGATCAGTATCTAATGATATTAAACATTTTGGAGTGTCATTAAATGGGGATAGATCTCTGTAATGTTTTAGTCTATAATGAACCATTTTGAAACTTCAAAATACTGCATGCATGTCAAAATTCTTGATGATTTCTGGAGTTCCAAAAAAGTTCTATACATGGAAGCATTGGTTGTTCTGCCTAAAGTCTTCAAGGTTTATAAAAATATGAGTTAAAAAATAAAAAAAATAGTATATGTGTATTATTGTTTTAATTTTTTGAAAAGTACAAAAAGAGCTGTAGTGAAAACCTGCACACCTTCAGTTTTTTCCCCACAGGCAGTAACTGTTACCAGTTTCTTGGGTATCCCACTAGAGATACCCTGCATGTTTATGTGTATGCCATTAGTATAAATTTTGACATTCTTATATAGAAGTATCTTAGTAGCATAACCTAAAATAATATTGTTAAAGGTTATACTCCAGCTTTTATTGTTTATATTCCAAATGTCTTTGCTAACTTGTATTCATTCATTCAACAGTATTGAGTACCTATTCTATATTAGATGATGTGGCAACTCATAGGAATAAAATGATGAACAAGACAGGTGTTCCTGCTAGCTGTCAAGGAGCTTACCTCCTAATGGGAGAAGTAGTCATTAAGCAAATAATTATACTGATGACTATAGCAAAGATTCACTACCTGCTTTGTGCCAAATGCTTTATGTGGATTTTTTATTTATTCCTCATTCCTTTTTTATTCCCTATGATATTGATACTAATAATACTTTTATGGATGCACAGAAATATTAAATTACTTGGTCAAGATTGCACACAACTAGTAAGTGATAGAGCCACGTTTCAAACACAAGCAGTCTGGCTTAGAGATCTTGCTGTCTTCCTTTAATGCAGTGGTTTTTAATGAGTTTGAGATTATCGCCTAGGGAGGTGTGGAAATTTGTGGGATGTTCTTTGATTTCAAAAATCATTGAGAGGATGACACTGACTTTAGTGGATAGAAATCAGGGTTGTTAGACATCCTGCAACGTAAAGGACATCCCTACCCAAATGGTAAAAAATTGTTACACATTTTGCGTCACTTTCAAATGTCCCAGGAGATGTTCATGTAGGTGAAAAATCTGTTTATGATCTTATTGCCTAGAACCAATTTGTTTTACCTGTTAATTCTGATTTTTTGTTTTTGTTTTTGCATCAAGCACAGTTACTGTGTACATAAAGAGATTGTGCTTTCTTTATTTCGGAAAGTTTATAAAAGTTGGCCCCTATTTTGGAAAATCATACCACCGACAGCAGTGCTATTCCTGGTATTTTTATCAAAATATAACGTGCCTATATCAGTCTATATTTGCAGTTGTCACATTCATAGTCTTACATTATTTAGTCATGCCCAAACATTTATATTT